TCTGATTTTCCAGAACTGTTTCTCATTGATATTGTGAAAGAAATGCTACCTTCAGCTCTTAGAGTGAGTATATCTACACTAACATGCAAAAAAAACGCAACAAGTAAATATTTGGTAAAATTTGAAGTCTCATAGTTTTTTTATTTTTACTTCAATTTCCAAAATTTTTTCAGAAAATAAGTGGATGAAATCATTAATTTCAACTGGCACATTCAGTATTTTGTTGAATGCTGGCTCATTATTCATTATACAGGGTTAACTAGAAGTATGTTGATATACTCTAATTATAAAACATCCTGTGGAATAATTTCGTGGTCAAATTCTTTCAAAATACCAATTTTTGTTAAGAACCGATCCTTTTCAATATTTTGTTTTTTGGTTCAAGTCTTCAGGTGCACTAGTTGATTTTTTAGAAGGAAATGAACTTATCATCAACGTTTACTTTGAAAAATGTAATTTTTTGAAGAGGTGGCTTTGCTCGTTGCTGTCCTAATGTCAGTTTGACAGTGAGAGACCTTAAGGAACTCGAACCATGGTTTTAAGTGCGGAAAATTGCGCAAAAGCTGTCGCTCTTGTTGAAGATGAACGTAATTATGAATATGTTGCAATGATACTTCATGTTCATCGCTCAACCATCAAAAGAGTAATCGAACGTTTTAGACAAACTGGCAGAAATAAGCGTAGGGCAGGTAGTGGCAGAAAACGAAAAACGACTGCTATTGATGAAAGATTACTTCATGTAAACACTCTGCGGGATCGTCATTTAACATCAGTGCAGTCTAGAAATCAACTTCAAGAGGTTCGAGGTACAAATGTTAGTGTGTGGACAGTTCGCCAAAGATTGAAGGAGTTTGGTTTGAAAGCTTGCAGACCAGCAACGGGACCCAAATTACTTCCGTGTCACCGAGTAGCTAGACTGGAATTTGCTACTGAACATTTACATTGGAACTTGGGGCAATGGAACAATGTTCTTTTCACTGATGAATCCAGATTCTGCTTACATTCTCCAGATGGACGGAAAAGAGTATGGAGAAGGAACAGAGAAAGATTTGCAGAATGCACGTTCATCTGAGTTATGGAGGAGGTTCAGTAATGGTTTGGGCAGGAATATCCACGGAGGCCTGCACTGAGTTGGTGGTCATCGATGGATCTTTAACGGCTCACCGATATATTGAAGAGATATTAAGCAATTACGTTGTAGCTTTTAGTGGATTTATCGGCCATGACTTTATCCTGATGCAGGATAATGCGCGGCCACATACAGCAATTTGTGTCACACAATACCTCGTGGAAGTAGGTATTAACAAACTGAACTGGCCAGCATGTTCGCCTGATCTCAACCCCATAGAGCATGTGTGGGACATGCTTGGTAGGCGAGTCAGAGATCGTGAAGTAGCTCCGGCTACCATAAATGAACTTCGTTTAGCCATTCAGGAGGAATGGCAAAATATTCCACAAGATGCTATTCGAAACCTAATTGACAGTATGAACCAACGTATGCAGGCAGTTGTGAGAGCCAGAGGTGGTAATACAAAATATCAAGCTGATTTTGTTGTAAAAAATACGTTTCCTCATCAGGTTATTTAAGTTACAGTTGAACTGGTTTGTTTTGAGTTTGCATAAATAAATTTTGTATTAATTGTTCATTATTATAACTAAACAATATATTGCTGCCATTTCATTGTTACACTCATGAACTGAACTGTCATACTGACATTATGGCACAATGAGCAAATCCATGTCGTCAAAAAATAACATTTCTTCAAATTAGGTAAACTCTGTTGTTTGGAGTTCATTTCCCTCTTAAAAATCAACTAAAGCAACTAAAGACTTGAACCAAAAAAACAAAATGTTGAAAAGGATCGGTTCTTAACAAAAATTGGTATTTTGAAAGAATTTGACCACGAAATTATTCCACAAGATGTTTTAAAATTAGGGTATATCAACATACTTCTAGTTAACCCTGTATAATGACTAATGAGCCAGCATTTAACAAAATACTGAATGTGCCAGTTGAAATTGATGATTTTCTCTGGTAGTAGTTCATGCTCAAATTGGAGGTGATGAGATAATTAAGAGAACAAACTCAAAGTTGTTGATGAATTCTTTTTCTTGTGTTGCATCCTGTATATGTTCAAATTCTATCATAGTAAAAAGTAGTAGTGTCATAAAACACACTTCATAGTCATCAAAAAGAGCTGGAGAAGAACTAAACTTGAAATTTGTGTAAAATTTCTTCAGTTACTATGATTTTTTGCAGAGCAGTGTATATCAATATTGTATCCATTGAATTAATTTCAATCGAACCATTAATGAATATATATAAGTTCATTGCTATTTTGCATTTCGAAACTCTGATAGGGATCAGGTTTTACACATTCCACAAAATCACCAGAATTTTTCATGTATTGGATCAATTATTTATTTCAGCAAAGACCAATCCTGATGCTCCAAGGGGCGATCTTGGGGGAGCCAAGCATCCCCGACGGAATTGTATATATCGGAAACTATGGGGAATATAGAATAGTCTATATGACTGAGGACGATGCTGTTCTAGTTTGGATTATATCGGTGAGACATTGATTGGTTCCTCATTTTTATTTTCATCGCAATTTTTTTTTCTCAGTTCCAGACATCCTGAATCATATTTATATATATTTATGTATATAAGGTAATATATCCACTTTGTGAAACAATTTGAATTACTCTAATGTTTGTTTGTTCTTTGCAGGTTTGTTTTTCATCAAATTATTTTATGAGAAGAATTTCCATTCATTCAATACCATTTTATCCACGACTTTCAATACTTGGTTTTGATAATAAACCAATGACTACTTTTGGGTCGGTCACAGCAAAAAGCACTATGGATAGTTTGGAATTTTTAGTGGTGAGTTATAATATGAATTACTGAACATCCCAATGCTTATCTCATATTTAGTCATACAGGGTGATTTGAAAGGAGTACAACAAACTCCTGGAATTTTGTTCTGAAATCAAAACCAAAATGTTCATTTGTTTCAAAAGTTTATACAATATTTCTATAACTTGATAACAAATGGAGATTGAATTGGGAATAATGACATGTTTTCAATAATATTCTATGTAAAATACTCATCAAGAATGTTTAAAATTATTTTGACACATCCTGTGAATTTTGGAATCAATTTCTATTCACTGCAATCTCGTCGCACATTCATTGGGACACCTCTAGTATATTTCGGAACAATTTCTCTGCACTCACAAGAGATTTGTTCAATTATTTTTTTCCGATTGTTTTCAATGTCGAAAAACTGGGACATGACTCATATTATGTCTAACAACCAGTTTTTAGTACCGGGAGACGAAAAACCGATCAAATATTTCCTCTGTTATATTGTTAAAAGAACAATTACAGTGACATTGGATTTGGAAAGCATCACGAAAATTGCTATTCGCAACCGCATATAAAGGCTATACTGGAAGAGGTCTTTGCGAATGGTCTGTATACGATGATAGAAATATATAAATAGAAACTGTTTGATAAATTATACGGGTAGACAATTAATATTGATAGTTAACGAAATGGAAAATATACAACACATTGGAGTCAATTAAAAATAAATGAATGCAATAAGCACATGTGAAATAAATATTTAACACGGTATACAGGGTGATCCAATAATGAATTGGAATTTTATTTTGTTGTTGATAATTCGAGGGGTATGAAAAAAAAAACAATAATTTTTGTATGGAATGCAATTTAATTTTCACTCAAGGTAATCGTTACCTTCATATAAATATTCTTGAATTTCAAAATGACATGCAGAATATAACACAAAAATAATATGATTAGACTACTGAATATAAGATACAAAAAAATTGAATAGGTATCTGAATAAAACTCTCTTGACTCACATGTTTCACGATAGATCAAATTTTGCCAGTTTTTCGTATATCTCACAGTATTATCTTGGAATATAATTCTGTACTTATGAAAACTAGCGTTTTGTGGTACATCGGTCATTGATACGGGTAGATGACCATTGTTGACTAATACTGGTAGCATTTTAGTCCAAGTTGAAGGCCACCTTTCATTTTTCGTACCATTGTTATCGAAACAAATGAAAGCTTCTCTGGCATTGTAGGATTGATTAACATACAATAAAAATTGTTTTGTACTTGCATCTGAAGAACTGTTTCGTGATTTGAAAAACAAAGCAGAAATCATGAAAAAAATCAAAGATCTGCCATTATCTGCTAAAACAGTACAAGATAGAACTGCTGAAATGTCTTCAAATGTAACACATATGCAAGTAGAAGATATTAAACTGGCATCTGCCTTCTCAATCGCTATAGATGAGTCTTGTGATATAAAAGATACGGCACAAGTTGCCCTTTTCGTCAAGTATATGTCATCAAATTGAGGTCATGAACTTGGTGATTGAGATCATTAACAGCATCTTGACAAAAGCTCTCTACCATCGCCAGTTCAAAGATTTCCTTGAGGAAATAAATAGCCAGTATTCTGACCTACTTCTGCACAATAAGGTGCGATGGCTTTCCACAGGTAACGTATTACAACGTTTTGCTTTGATCTTGAGTGAAATGAAAACATTCCTCAATGAAAAAAACATCGACCATCCCGAATTGGAAGATGACAAATGGCTGCAAAAATTCAACTTCATAGTGGATACCACAATGAAACTAAATGAACTAAATCTAAAACTGCAGGGAAGGGGCAACCCAGCCTACGCTTTACTTGAAGAAGTAGTTTGTTTCGAACAAAAATTACTTCTTCTTGTTGAAGCCATGGAGAGCAGTTACTTAATTCATTTTGAAAATCTGAAGAAGTATCGCGATGAGACCAATGCAACTATTGACACGAATTACTTCAGCATGGTTATAAAAAACATCAAGGATGGATTCGCTGGAAGATTCGAGAACAAAAGTTCTCTCGCGTTTATAGTAAATCCTCTCAACACAAATACAAACCACTTGGAATTGATGCTGGATCGCTTCAAATGCAATTGTTGGATTTGAAAACCAAAGATTTGTGGAGTGGCAAGTTCACAGAACTCAAGAGTAAGTTGGAAGAGTTGGAGGTCAAGAAATGCATGCACATCGCGCAGCACAAGTGGACAGCTCTGAAAGAAATGCCGCACGTTGAGACCCTCATATTCGACGCATGGAATAGTCTTCCAGAATGCTACGGTGAGGTGAAAAAGTTGGCATATGGAGTGCTGACGATCTTCGGATCAACATATTCATGCGAGCAAGCGTTTTCTTGCATGAATATAATAAAAAGTAAAATTAGATGTCAACTAACAAATGAAAATCCTAGAGTCGTGCTTGAAACTTGAAACATCAAGTTATAAGCCAGATTTGATCAAACTTTCAGAAGGCATGCAAAGCCAATGCTCTCATTCAATAGGTTGCCGACCCCTGTACTAGGGGATTCAAAGGATACTTCCTACGAAGCGTTCCGCCTTATCCTGGTGAATCGCAGACTATTTGCAAACACGGACCCTACCGACGCCAACTACACTGGTATGGTTGGCTACTGCCTACACCACCCCATTCAAATTTTACAATGCTCACTTTCAAACCCTCATAGAATTTTTCGTACGAGTTACCCACCTATTTAGATCCTCTTCCTTATTACCATCCGTTCCTAATGTGGCCTCGTTGAAGAAATATCCGGTTGACATCGGCTTTGTCTCTATGATACATTGTGTGGTGTTTATAGGAGGGTAATCAAACAACATTCCCGATTACACACTATATTTCCTACACCACGTATTTATAATTTGCTGGCCCGCACAAAACTGGTACCTACGAAAAACCTATCTTCAAGGTACACATACCTGAGTTTTTTACTTCTGCACGCGCAGGTGCCAAATGTATTTCCATACCATATAAACAAGGAAATTGTATACCTTATTTATTCCATACATTACACATTTTATATGGCATTTATGCAAAAAAAAAATTGCACTAATATGTATAATAGAGTCGAAGCTTTCGATAGACCAAAAGGTATAATTGAAGTCTTCAAGATAAATACGACCAAGAATCAACTTTCGAGTCATCCCGACCGATATTCTAAGAGGATGCATAGATTGGACGTTGTCAACCGATACAGTAGTGACGTTTTGGTTGGCACCATACTTCATCCAAAATCATTGTTCGGAAAACTGGCCCTCAAGTTCCTGTTAAAAAAAGACTTGAGGCCCGTTCTACGACCGATTATCAAGATTTTGATCGAGAATTTCGTAGAACAATTCCCGATGAGTATGATTCATCCAAAATGTCAATACGTGTATGACTGGATACTCATCGTCAACGAGGGCTCCATCAGAATGCCCCCCCCCCCCCAGCCACTCCGACTTTCAAAAAGAAAGTCGTTCCTCCCCTTCCTACTCCTACTCCCTCCTGCTCCTACTCCACTTCTGCTGACGAAGTGGATTCTTTTCTAAAGGAAATACGTAAGTATTACTTCTCCCCGACTTCTCTCTCCTCCTCCTCAATAGTAACCATACCAGCGACGACGACGACGGCGACGACGACAACGACGGTGGCAGCGACGACGGCGTCAAGGTGGAGAAATCAATTCCAGAAATCATCAAGAAAACCCCAGGGTGAGCAGACGTCTTCGATTGCCGCAAAGTTATGGCCAACTAGTAGCAGTAGTAGTTCTACTGCTAGTACGACGGCGACGACAACAATGACGGCAGCGACGACGACGACGTCGGCGACATGGAGAAATCCATTCCTGAAATCATCAAGGAATCCCCAGAGTGAGCGGACGTCTTCGATTGCCGCAAATTTATTGCCAACTAGTAGCAGTAGTAGTTCTACTGCTAGTAGTAGTAGTACTTCTACTGCTAGGCCATCGAGGCCGGCGTATAATCCACCACCGTCTTCGCATTCCAAAACCAGGTATACTAAGGCGATGGACAAGGCGCTAGTGGATTTTGCGGCGCTACATACTGGCGAATTGGCCGGCATTAAATTTTATAACGATGCTGTCAAAAAAGTACCGCTGCTGTCGAAATGCAGACTTTTCGGCTTGAAGAGGCATCTAATAACTTTGACCAAGCAAAAGCAACTGACAGTTCTGGGCATTCCGAATGACGTGGCGAAAGTCATCGAAAACAAACTGCAAAAATTGTAACGTTCGACGTACTGTTTTTTCCTTGTTCTACAGGGTGATCCAGGTTAAACGTCATTAAATTTTATAGGCGATAAAAACACGGAAATGAAGTAGCCTTGCATGATGAAACTTCTGTTCATCCAAAGTTTTTTCATGGAAGTCTACTCCTTTTCCGTTGTTCTATCGCCTCTAAAAATTAATGACGTTTAACCTGGACCACCCTGTATACTTATCAAATCATTAAGAGAGGTGCATACAGTAAGGCTCGATGGAGGACACCAAGGTGATTGATTCCAAAAAACCCATATTTTATGAGTCTATCTATCTTCATAGCCAAGATACAGGGTGATTTATTAGATTTTCCCAATTTCTCAATCAATCATAATTTGAACGCACCACCCTATACATTTTTGTAATATTTGGTTCGAATGTTCTTTGTCCACAGTGGTGTATCAACATCACATCGGTGTCTTCCATCTACTCTCACTATATGCGCATTTCAGGGGCCGCGTGATAAAAGCGCCGATAGTATTCTATTCGCAAATTTGAGCTTCTCGCACTCGAGTTTTTTTCAAGAAGATAAATACTGAATTGAACGAAAATAATTCATGTTGCCATTATTATTACGCTGAGGCTATAGACACGTTGATGTGTCTGTAATTTAATTACTATTGACACGTGAACTGACGTCAATCGTGCACGGAGAACTGCTAGATCTTCTTCTCTCTCCGTAGATAGTTTATTCAAATATGCGTAAGCTATAACGTCAGCGTTTCGGCGTGGGCCCGAGTTCCATCCTCGCCAGGTTGTTTTTTTTTTCATTTCCAATTTGATAATTCAAGTGATATTTTCAGCCGACATGTTAGGTTAGGTGTTTGGTAAGGTACTCTCCTTTTTTATAGTTATGCAGAAAGGATATTTTCCTTCCTTATATTCGATATTCCTATGTGCATTGGTCAAAAAGTGGAATAAAATGCCCCATCTTGTCCATCATAGACCGAAATAACACCCCAAATTTTATTCCATATCAAATAATATATTATATTGAATTGATTGAATAGACCAGATTCTTCATTCGAGCGAGTTACGTCATGTACACGTGTCTGTAATAATTAAATTACAGGCACATCAACGTGTCTCATCTGCCTTATTATGAATAGTTGAATGAATATGTTATGTTGTTCGAATATGCTTGTTGATAGAGATGAAAATGCTTCTGTTCCAGGTCGTGGGTTGAAATCCAAAAAGTAATTTTGCTACGATCGTGCGAAAAAGTTACTTCATCGCACGGTTCTTTGTTTTGGAAGTTGTACTTTTTCGTACGATTCTAATTTTCTGCACAATTTTCACTTTTCCGCACTATTTTTACTTTTCAGCACGATCCTTCGTGACTGTCAGGAATACGTCAGCCGTCTTACTTGTCAGTGGCATTTTCTCATGAATTTCATCGTTAAAATCGTGCAGAAAATTTACTTTTCCGCACTACTGCCGAAAAGTTACTTTTTCGCACGATTTTGGTAATGTTGAAAATGAATGTAACCATTCTGTCTTATGTGTCATTTCAAAGCATTTTTTCCAAATATTGTTTATTAAAAACATTTTTCTCATGAATAATATTATCTACGTATACAGGATGATTCAGGTTTTGAGGCACAAAATTAAATGGAAGATAGATCTCATCATTTTAATCGAAAAAGTTTATGTAAACATTAGTCCGATCTCGTTCAATAGCGAAGCTACATGGAGTCAAAGCTTGATTATTTTTTTCTATTAATTGGAATATCTCGCTCACTTTTCAACAAATTATCTTGAAATTCGGTGTGGTCAATACTTCCTGAAAGATCATCATTTCAAGCCATTCAAAGATTTTCAAAATCTACAGGATGATACGTTTTTGGGGGGAGAGCCTTCTCCATTCCCCCCAAACTTTTCCGTAGTACGCCTCTGGCATCTTTCAGTGATCAAATTGTGTGGATCGTTTAATTCAAAAGCGTTTTTTGGTCCTCAACTTTTTTCGAGAAACGAACCGTTTTTGAGATAAATAAGCTAGTCTTTTTTTATGGATGACACTGTATATGTTTTGTATCTCTTTGGCTATGTAGTTGATATGACATTTTTTTCATCATTAACTTTTTCTACACTTTTTTATACATGATGAAGTCATTTCTGACATTATATAAAAATTATCATTCATCAATTTTCTCATCGATTTTTTCGAAATTTCATGTCTGACATTCCATTCGATCTTAGTACAATTCAATAGTGATTTCAGTACAAATAGATCTTTTTCTTCTGGCAACACTGTTAGGCGATCCGAACCACGTGACAATCGTGACATTTCAGCTGGCAAGATGGCGTCTGGTTGGCAAACAGATTATACATCACTTGTAATTGAATTGTCTTTTCCCTATTCCGGTAGTTTTATGTGTCAGGACTGTCAGGTGTTTGAAGGAGTCTCGGGAGTTGAATTGAATTAGTTTTCACAGTGCTTCAATATGCAAAGTTCATATTTCAAGAAGTTATTGCATGAAAACCCAATGGCATACTCAGATGGAAGATAGAAAATTAATTAAAAATCTTTACTGACATTTGAAATGTGATATCATTGGATTCAGAAATTGATGCAGAATTCGAAAAGGTGATAATATACAGGGTGTTCCATCTGAAAATCAAAAGTTTTTACCACTTTCGATGAACCTAGAAGTGGAAAATAAAACCTAATTATGTCAAAACATGAAGTTTATAAAGTTGATGGGTCGTTCCAAATTTCAATCACTCATCTTTAATACTACAGGAGAAAAAGGGGGTGTACCATGATCCTGTTACACCCGGTATATTTAATAAATAGCCCGCAATTATGGGAGAGAGACACCCCTTTACTATTCAGGCTGACCTTGTGGTAGCCATTTTTGAACAACGTTTTCAATCGCTAATTAGAGGTCCTGAAAGGTCCATTACTTTTGCTATTGAAGTCGTCTTCCACTGTTCTTAAAAATCTTACCGAATTTCCTATAATTTGATACAATTTTTTGTCGCTGGAAATTGTATGAATCAGCAACCTATCCTCAGCATTCGAATATGCAGTTCTTGTCTGCGTGAGACGTGCTGACGATGAAAATGTTATTACTTTTTTCTGATGCTGAGGAACTGGTGCACGAGGGTACTTGGTTTTTATCTCTTAGCATCATAATGGGCCTTTTCAACAGTTTTCTTACACAATACATCAGATTCAGAATTTGTTTGTGATGTACTAGACTCCTGCTGCATGTCAGAGTTTCGGCTGCAACTCTGAAATGCAGGAGGAATTGGTAGAAATCGTTGATATCCTGCTTAGGTTAAGTTAGGTTTGGTTTGGTTAGGTTAGGTTAGGATAGGTTAGGATAGGATAGGATAGGATAGGATAGGATAGGATAGGATAGGATAGGATATTATTGTGGCAGCAACTCGAGGGGCTTCATTTATTTCTTGCAGATGTCTGTGGTTGAAACGCTCCCCGTGCTGAGGAACTGGTGCACGAGGTACTTGGTTTTTATCTTTTAGCATCAAAATGGGCCTTTTTAACAGTTTTCTCAAACGATAAATCAGATTCAGAATTTGTTTGTGATGTACTAGACTTCTGCTGCATGTCAGAGTTTCGGCTGCAACTCAGAAATGCAGGAGGAATTGGTAGAAATCGTTGATATCCTGCTTAGGTTAAGTTAGGTTTGGTTAGGTTAGGTTAGGTTAGGTTAGGTTAGGTTAGGTTAGGTTAGGTTAGGTTAGGTTAGGTTAGGTTAGGTTAGGTTAGGTTAGTTAGGTTAGGTTAGGTTAGGTTAGGTTAGGTTAGGTTAGGTTAGGTTAGGTTAGGTTAGGTTAGGTTAGGTTAGGTTAGGTTAGGTTAGGTTAGGTTAGGTTAGGTTAGGTTAGGTTAGGTTAGGTTAGGATAGGATAGGATAGGATAGGATAGGATTAGGATAGGATAGGATAGGATAGGAATAGGATAGGATAGGATAGGATAGGATAGGATAGGATAGGATAGGATTAGGATAGGATAGGATAGGATAGGATAGGATAGGATAGGATAGGATAGGATAGGATAGGATAGGATAGGATAGGATAGGATAGGATAGGATAGGATAGGATAGGATAGGATAGGATAGGATAGGATAAGGATAGGATAGGATAGGATAGGATAGGATAGGATAGGATAGGATAGGATAGGATAGGATAGGATAGGATAGGATAGGATAGGATAGGATAGGATAGGATAGGATAGGATAGGATAGGATAGGATAGGATAGGATAGGATAGGATAGGATAGGATAGGAAGGATAGGATAGGATAGGATAGGATAGGATAGGATAGGATAGGATAGGATAGGATAGGATAGGATAGGATAGGATAGGATAGGAATAGGATAGGATAGGATAGGATAGGATAGGATAGGATAGGATAGGATAGGATAGGATAGGATAGGATAGGATAGGATAGGATAGGATAGGATAGGATAGGATAGGATAGGATAGGATAGGATAGGATAGGAATAGGATAGGATAGGATAGGATAGGATAGGATAGGATAGGATAGGATAGGATAGGATAGGATAGGATAGGATAGGATAGGATAGGATAGGATAGGATAGGATAGGATAGGATAGGATAGGATGATAGGATAGGATAGGATAGGATAGGATAGGATAGGATAGGATAGGATAGGATAGGATAGGGATAGGATAGGATAGGATAGGATAGGATAGGATAGGATAGGATAGGATAGGATAGGATAGGATAGGATAGGATAGGATAGGATAGGATAGGATAGGATAGGATAGGATAGGATAGGATGATAGGATAGGATAGGATAGGATAGGATTAGGATAGGATAGGATAGGATAGGATAGGATAGGATAGGATAGGATAGATAGGATAGGATAGGATAGGATAGGATAGGATAGGATAGGATAGGATAGGATAGGATAGGATAGGATAGGATAGGATAGGATAGGATAGGAT